CATCGAATTCTGTACTCTTTTTTTTTTTTTAATATATACTTCTACATATAGCGTGTATTCTCCAGTGCCAACACGTAGACCCACCGTCTCCTCCTGCCGTAGGACTGCAAGCTTGGGAAGTGTTTCTGCATGGATGGGGGTGCGTGTGCACACATACGTACATACACACACACGTATGTACAATCAACCATCAGGCCTAGGCTACGCACTTGTTCCCTTTTGGAGAGGTTCCTTTTGAGCATGGTTTTGACTTCCCACTTGGCCAAGCAAGCCTTTGCCGAGCTGCCGGCCCTGCTCCCACCATCCAGGCGCTGGCTTTCCCCGCCGCGTTCCCCACGCTCCAGCCTACATGGTGCCTGATTTATCCGCCGAGCTGCTGGGGAAGAGCTTCTCAGTGGGGGTGACGGCAGGGCTGCCCACCCCCGAGCTGCTGCTGCTGCTGGAGCGGTGCTGCACCACCGGCCGCACCGGCCGCATCGGCGGGGGCCGCAGCTGAGCCCCAGCCAGCCGGGCTGACAGGGCCGGCTTGAAGGTGGTCATCATCTCCGTGGTGGAGCTGCTGCTGCGCCGCATGGCGGCATCAGGGTCCCGGATCAGGATGGTGTGGAGGGGGCTGGCAGGCTCTGAGTTGGCGGCGCCCATCGGCGGGGTCTTCATGGGCTCCAGCGTGTCCAGGACCACATCAGGGGCCTGCTTGGCTGTGTTCTGCCTCTCCAGTTCCCGCAGCTCATTCAGCGCTGTGCTCATGGTCTTCTCGATGTCCTGCGAACGCCACCAACAAAGGGATGTCAGCACCATGCCACAGCATCACCCCGCTCTCCTGCACTCCACCCCGTGGAGAGGCCCCACACCCTGGCATGTGTGTCTGTGGCGGGGGAGTGTCTCTGACCTAAGACAAGAGCCTCCAGGCAAAGCAGGAGCTTTAGGAAAAGATATAAAACCCAAACTCTGGCCACGCAAAGGCGCCGCATGTCTCCCAAGTCAACAGGAGTTTGGTCACCAGCTCCAAAGGGAGCAAACCCCAAGCACCATGAGCAATGCAGTGAACGCCAGCCTGTCTGCACCTCCAACCAGGCAGGATATCTCCATACTCCCCCACAGCACTAAGGCTGGTTTTTCCCCAAAAAAGGAGGCCCTGTAGCCTCCATCAGATGTACGGGACCTCTGCTGTCCCTGTGCCTACAGGGCAATGGCACGTGTGGGGCAGAAACGCACAGGGATGTATTCAGAGCGTGCAACACAATGGCAGCTCGCCATAAATAAAAGAGAGGCAGCAACAAGGCCTCTCCCTGTGCCGGGGGAGGCAGCTGAGGTGAGACTGGCCCCAGCCCCTCACCGCCTGCCCACCTCGGGTCGTGACTCCTAGGCACAGCCTCCATGGGTCCATCCACAGAGATCCTCCAGAAGGTGAACCCAGTTCAGCTAGAAGTGCCCACTTAAAGTAAATTAGCTAAATTGCCTACAACTGTAGTGCTGATCATCTCACTCAGAAATAGGGAGGCCCTAGTCTGGCTTCACTTAAATCCACCTTAACTGAATTAAGGCCACGAACTCAGAAAGAGACCATCTGAAAAGTGATTTAAGGCAACTGAATCAATCATTTAAAAAGTAGCTCTAGTTAACTCTCCTCACTGTCCTTGTGTAGACTAGTCCTTAATTTTCTAATGCATACAAAATGCTTGGTGAGCCTCAGATAATGTTCAGAGGATCAGCAGAGGGGAAATAATTATCAAGTTAGCTCCAATTAATTCTATTAAGCTGTTCAGATAATGAGTGAAAGTATTCTTCCAGAGTTAAGCCTCAGGACTAGCAAGTCCAGCAGTCCTACAGACTTCAAGGCAAGTATTTATTTACATCAGCTCAGTGAAAATCTTTTCCAAGGTTTAAAAAACCAACCCAAAACCCCCCAAAATTGTGCATATTGTGCTCCGTCCTCAGCATTCGCCCGTCCCTCTGGAGGCTCCCGGACCCCACAGCCCTGCACTGCACCTGGGGAACGCGGCCCTGGGCACCGCTGCGTGGTGTCACGCTACTGCCCATCGGCCGAGCCCAGGGACTTCGTGCATGTTGTTATCCTGTCCCAAGGCGGACGTGGTGCCCCAGCTCGAGCCATCGCTCAGGGCACGCACTGTGCTATGACCGTAACTTTGCAAATTGATCACACCAAACGCAAGCTCTTGATGGACAGAGAAGCTGGGTAGCACGCTGCAGAGCAAGAGAACAAGGAGCATGGCTGGTGAAAAAGCAAAGAGGACAGTAAGAGTTCTTCCTTTCTGCAATCATCATCAATTATCCCACTGAAAGCAGCTGATTCTACATAAAACAGCCTGCCAAACCCTGTGGCACATGAGCTGCTGCCAGGTGGTGGGCAGCAGCTTCCCTAGCAGCTGCACCCCTCTGCCTGGGCATCACCGACCATCCCACAGCTGCTGCTCCTGCCGGAGGGTGGCACGAAGCAAACTGCTGGTAAACTGCTGAAAAAGGGGATGCTGAACAGCCTGTCCACAGCACTACCAGCCCCCGGGCCCTGAACCGGCCCAACCCACGGCTGTTGGGACATGTTGGCAGGGACTGTGCCTGAACTAGGTGGTCCCTGAGAGGCTGGAGAATTCTGCAGCCTGCTCCGTGAAAGGACCGTTTTCCGAGATGTTAACCAATACCTAACTGGGGGCCTCCTGCCAGTGGTAGAGAGAGACCTGCGAGCTGTGCTGGAGGTAACATGAATTTAACGAGCACCGTGGAACCAATGGCCTAATGTGACACTGATGTTGCATGGCTGGAGGCATCGTATTGGGATTAGACTAACATTTTGAGGTCCTAGCTACAAACAGCCAGTAACAAACCTGAAGCCTTTTCTCCAAACACTGAGCATCAGTCAAATTCTGATTTGGCAAATCCAAACCTCCTCCTAAGCTCCTTATGGAACCGTCAGATGAAGATAACGCGCTTCCCTCCCTGTGGGAGGTAAGAGCTGCCAGTGCATTTCGGTGGTGGATCGAATGTTTCTGCCTATTGTTTTGAAGAAACAAGGTTTGTGGAAGGAGGCAGTATTTTTTATTAGACCAACCGATACAGTTGGAAAAGCCGGCAAGCTGTTGGCTGCTCATTTTTATCTTTAAACCACTGCAGCTACAACAGCACTGTAATTCTGAAGTGTGTTGAGATGGAAGGGGCTCTGCAGCGCTACCCCAGTGACTTTTATTTTAGCCTCTCGATCCCTGGGCACCGAGAGCCACTTCACAACCCTCTTACCTCAGCAAGTGCTTCTGCTTCTAGAGATTTCTGATCTCCGAGACTACTGTGTCTAGTCGATCCACAGGTCGATCTCAGCGGGTGGCCATCAGACAAGGCCTTCCTGTCTGGGAAATTGATGCTGCCTGCACTGCCGAATGTCGCCATTCTGCGCTTTTCAGGACTCTCAATCCTGCCCCTGTTAAGAGGTATTTTGTGGGGGCTGCTAGGGCAGGCCGCTGCTCGAGGAGGAGTGTCTATGCCAGGACCCATCCCTCGGGGCGGGCTGTGGGTGTCCCCCCCGCTTCGACGGCGAGGGATAGCTGCACCGTCAGACCTCAATCTCACTCTGCAAAGAATCCATCACAAGACTAGGTCACTGTCCGTCAGATCGAAAGTGTCTGGTTGCACGCTGCAAGACAATTGCTCAGCTCTGAGAGTTCAGATCAAACCAAACTCAAGCCTTTCAGCTCCAGAAGGCTAAGGTAAGAGGGAAGACAGACATTTTAGCCAGTGCCAAGAAAGGGAGAGCATTGTACCTTCTTTACTTGTTAAGATATACATTAGCAATGCACACGAAGACTCCCTCCATGCTCATATTATTCTGCAGTGCTTACTGGAGCCTTCCCTTCTGTCTTGCCCTACACCACACACTGACTCCCCGCACATGACAGCAACCACCTCTGTGTTCATAGGAAAATGAGAGTTTCCCTACCGGCCCATTACTCCCCCAAAGCCATAGTCCACAATATGATCCGTCGGAGACTGGATGTCGTTCTTGGAGGAGGCTTTATCATCCAGCAGCGGTCCGCTGCTTGCCTCGCTGTCTGCCTTCTGGCTCAGGCTGTCGGAGAACGCATCATCCCTAGGAAAAGGAGACCCCCATCAGTAACAGGGCTCTGCCCCAGGACAGAGGCTAGGGCCCAGCCACAATGTGGATCTGAACATCACAACTCCAGCAGCTCCAGACTTTGTTAACAAAGGGCTGGACCAAGGCCACCACTTCAGACAGTACCAGGAGCCTGGAAAAAGCGAGCATCACGTCTCCATATCCCCCTGTGTTGTAGCTGCCATTTTAATTAATCCAGGTACAGTACTTGTAACAAAAGCGGCATCTGCAAAGGACCCTGGGATCTGCCTACAGGCCAGGTGCGCACTGAACAATGCCAGGTCAACGTACACAGGGGGCAAGGCCAATATTAAACCTGGGTTATGCCAATTTGAGGAGTCAATGATAGATGGGGTTCAGGCACACTGAAGTACAGTATTTAGTGCTTGGTTTTATCAGCTTGAATGAGAAACAATCTGAGCCAATACGTGGAGAGGCAGATGTGAACAGGTCCAGATTTCTCACCAAAGTCATTAAACCTCGGAAAATCTGACCACCTATTTTAGGTGGCTAAAGTAGACCTTGTGTAGGTAAGCGATTTTAACATCCTAGATCAACGCACACCACTTTACTCACATGTCTTGCACCACAATGTACTGGTGGGGTATGAGGCCATCCACACCATTATGTCTCCCTTCCCACCAGTCTTCTGATGCCCGATGGTACAGGAGGAGTGAGGCCCCTTTCTTAAAGGAGAGCTCTCGTGGAGATCGTCCAGTGTAGTCAAACTTTGCTATAGCTTCAATCTGCTCCACTTCTGCAAAGGAGAGAAGCACAGACAGAGAAAAGCTTAGTTCAACAATCACGATGGCACAATAAATCCTAGAAAGAGACATCTCACCAGAAGAGCAGTAATGCTGCTGCCCTAGCTTCCCGAGAGCTTCTTACACTGAGTACAAACCATCTTATTTTTAGACTGATCAATTCTTTTTGTTCTTCCAGCCTTCCTGGAATTTCTCACAGTCACAAACTACCAGCAATTACAAAAAGCTACAAACCAGATGGGGACTAGTTGAAATTTCCCTGTGTGCATATGGCATTGTCACCCACACTCCCATTTTCTACCTATAAAGTGATTTCTTCGGTTACAGAACCCCATTATCCTCCAGACTGGGATCTCGTCAAGCTGTGTCAGATACTGTGATCAAAGCCCTGCTTACCTTCTCTTCCCTTCCTTATCCTGGAGACAGTTTGGCCTGAATTATTGATGAGTAACAAATCCCCATAGAAATGATGGGGATCCCCATAGAAACAATACCAGCTCTGGCCAGGCAGCTGCTCTGCATCACACCCCCACATCTGCAGACCTTCCCAGCACTCTACCTCACCGCTTCTCCACTTTTTCTAATTTAAGGTCTACCAAACACCAAGGATTCACAAATTGGGAGCTCAGGGCCTGAAATTCAAGACGGCTGAGGTAGGACTTCACTTTGGGAGGTCATGAGCACACCAGGAACCTGTGAGCCCCTGGCCTCACAAGGGCATCACAGTGGGAGCTGCTGGTGCACCCAAAGAGAAGCCTCGTTGGCACTGAGGAGCCCGTGAAGGAGCCCAGCTCTTCCGCAAATCTGTTTCCAGCTGGGAGCGCTGAATCCCAGAGAAACTGCTGCAGCGATTGCAAAGCAGCAACAGCGTTTCTCTCCACACTGGCAGGAGCAACCTGCACTCCACCTCACTTCACTCCGAGACGGGGTGAAAAAGCAGGCTGCCACCACCCAACTACCTCTAGCCACTATCGGAGCCAGCAAGCAAGCAGTTAATGTACCTTGATTATTTGAGACACCCGATCATTTTAAACCCCACCTGGAGACTGGCAGACGGGCGATGACAAAGCTAAACAGAGCAAATTCAGTTCCTCCAGATCTGTCACATTCTTATTAAAACATGGAAACTTGCTCTGCTCCGTCTGCCTTGTCACTAACCACAGGCTCCGCATCAGCAGCAATCAGGATGCGACCCGTCGCTCTGCTCAGCGACAAAACCCACACAGAGGAGGAGACACCGGAGGAGGACATGGGAGATGCTGCATCAGACCCCTGCCCCATTCCCCACCTCACGTGGGACAGGACAGGTCGCTTCAGCAGACTGATTTTCCCCAGCCTAAAATACACATCCACACCAATACGAGCGGCAGGGTGTTTGGGAGCACTACAGCAGGATCAATGGGGAATGCTCTGGAGGAAACGTAGCAAGGGAGGCAACCAGGAGGGCTCTCACGGCCCTGATAAAATGCTGAGTTTCCCAGCAGGGAGGGTGCATGGGGTGAGGGAGAGGTGAAGAAGGAATATGTAAATTCACAAAATAAAGCTGCTCCTCTTCCCCACACTTGCACCACAGTTAATCACCCAGAAACTCCAATCAGAGCTATTAATGTGACCACCCAAGCATTAAATTGGCTAAATGGCAGCTTGCTCTCCTTCATCTTCTAGTCCTGTCGGCTCCTGTCTGTAGCTGAAAGCAGGTCCTGAGCTGTCCGGCCCAGCTGCACCCTTCCCCTCCCCACGGTGCCAGCCAGCTGGGCAAGCCCTCCCACCACCCACCAGCCTCGGAAGGCATCAGCATTTTGTTAGGGCAGGACACATCCAAGGAAACAGCGGCCATCAGGAAAGCAGAAGAGGTGTTCAGCTCCCCAGTGCCCTTCCACACGGCACAGTCCTGCCATTGAACGGCGTCGTGGGGTTGCACGTTCACCGCCGCTCAGCAGTGCCAGCAGGGTCTCCCAGACTGGCCCCGTGGCCGAGCTGCCGGTGCTTCCAGGGCGCAGGAAGCACAGCGCTTCCTCCTGCCTTGGTACCGCGTCCTGGAGCAAATGTGCTTCTTGCCCAGCTCTGCCAGCGCCCCCATTTCCATGCCTGCCTTTGTGATCGCTGTGAGCTTCAAAGCTTTTACTGAGAGCCCATATGTGAAACTCCAAGCTGGTTTACACAGAAGCGCAGGCAGACACGAGCTTACAGGAAGCTGGACCTGAGCCTCCTCCAGAGCGTTACGGAACACTGATGATGTACAGTTGCAAGGGATTTACACCTGGCTGCACCCATCCCATAGGACGAGAGGAAATGGCCTCGAGTTGCGCCAGGGGAGGTTTAGATTGGACATGAGGAAAAATTTCTTTACTGAAAGAGTGGTGAAACATTGGAACAGGCTGCCCAGGGAAGTGGTTGAGTCACCATCCCTGGAAGTATTTAAAAGACGAGTAGATGAGGCACTTAGGGACATGGTTTAGTGGGTGGTGGTGTTGGGTCGACGGTTGGACTCGATGATCTTAGAGGTCTTTTCCAACCTCAGTGATTCTATGATTCTATGGTCCTGGCTCACAATACATGCTGCTTCGCCCTCCGAAGCCGGCCAGTTCCATGGGCCTGACACGAGCAGAAATGAGCAGGCGGGTACTTCGTCACCAAAGGAAACAGAACTGACGGCAGGGAAAACCAGGCTGCCACTCGCTCGAATACAGGGGCATTTAGTTTCTGCCAAGGAGATGGCTGCTCGACAGGGGATGATCCACAGCATAATGAAACCAGCTGAAAGACCCCCTCACTTCAGAGGGCCCCCAACAGGGCCATGTTCACTGTTTTCCCCGTCCAGTGCATCCAAGGGCCCCTGAGTGAACAGAGCTGCCCCCACCCCCCCACGTCAGCCCCCCTGTCTCCCCTCCTGTTCTCATGAGCCATTTCACACAGCGTGTCCTCACCATCGCACAGCTGCATGTAAGCACAGATGACAAGGAAAAAAAAAAGTCATATATGGGATTAATGGAATCTCCAGCTCCAAAAAAACAACCTCTGTACCCTGCCATGAAGTCAGACCACTGCGAAGGCCCATGCACATCCTATGATGAATACCTATAAGCATCATTTATTAATATGCATATGCATTACCAAGCACACAGAAACATTGTCCCCCACTAAAGTGCCAGCCGCTAGTCCAGCCCCTAATCTGACTAGGAGTGAAGTGCACACTGCTTTCCTAACACAGACCCAATTTTTCTGTCTGTGCTCACCGTCATCACTGGTGTGTGGCTCCGTGCCGTTGTCATGGTCAACCTCATCAATGGTGCCTGGCTCGCTGTGCGGGCTGTCACTGAAATAAAATACACCGTGCTTTCAAAGAAAGAATGAGATTCTGTTCCCGAGGCACTTAGCAAAAGTGAGTTGTTGAGGGAAATTCTGGCCCCGGTGACACTTGAGAGTTACGTTTTTAGTTTTTATAGGACTGAGATGGTCATTTTACATCAGAGCAGATCTCTGAACTTGCTTTGAGAACAGCAGACACTCGCACCACAATCTTCAGGCCCAGAACATCACGTTCTGTTCCTCTTGCATCTTACTCATATTTGGCAAAACAAATATAAAGTGATACGAAGTTAAAACGTTCCACTTACTCATTCACAATGAGTTTTAGTATTTTATCCTCCGCTTGCATCAGTAAGGATGGTGGCAGGTGATCAGCATCAGGGAAGATTAGGTCTCAGAAATGTATAAAACTTGCACACAAATCAGTTCAAGTCTGTTATAAATACTGGTTTGTTAACACTCAGATCTGAACGCCAGTTTAGAACTCCAGCATCCTCCAGACAAATGTGTAATATCACTTACACTTCTCATGTGGGAGTTTGTTTATGGCGTTTTCCTATCCTGGGTATACCAGGTAGGGCGAATTGTGCACCAGAAAGACGCGATGCAATGCAATCGCACACGGCTGATCCCATCCCTGGCTAACGCAATCTGTCTTCTAACACTGACAAAACAAAAGGAACTGGAAGGTTCAGGTTAACTTCGGGCTAAGGGATTTCATCCAACTAATGCAATTATGATGGAACTATGGTACTTTACTCAAAAATTCCAACCTAAGAAAAATTTGGTTAGAACTGACCTAAAATTCTGTTTTGCTCTGAACACACTTCTGTGAACCTGCAGCTAAAAGAGATTTTAATAAATATTAATATTCATATTGGAAACAATTTTCTCCTGAAGTTTCTACTGAGGTTTATAATGCTGAGTCAGCATGAGTGAGAGAAATGAAAATAAAAACTCAGTGAAACTGCCTCTGTTTTCACTGGCAAGGCTAAAATGAAAAGCAAAACTGATGTATACAAGTAGAGACTAATTGGTTAGGTGTGCAAAATCCTCTTAGTTTTATGAAGGTATTTATAATTAAGAACCACGCAGACAGCCTCATATGGAGTAAGATTCTTAACCAGTGTAAAACAGCACAAGCATATCAAATATATATCACTTGCACACCTAATTCATAACATTTAACAGGAATACATGCCAAAAGGCATGCCCCTTCTGCAGAGGGGCAAATTCACGCCAGCACTGTGCTCAGCTGCCCTTAATATTAAGTCTGAACTTCCCAAAGCTCTCCTCACACCCCGTCCTCTCAGGGATCTGCTCCCAAGAGCCCTTATCCTACACTCATGTGAGCTGGGGTCAATTCTCCGTCTACTAGGAATCAAGCCAAAGCCCTGCATTTTGTCACAGCTTCACTCAATGTACAGTGCCAGAAGATAAAGCCAGATACCCTTGTTAGGGTTAAGTTCTGCAAACAGTGAAGTCCTGCCCCCGCTCCTTACCAGTACTCCTCCCCTCCAGTCATGCACTTCTCGTAGACAGGTCCTTCCAGCTCCCTGTGGCTGGGGAAGATGCCCTCGTGGTTAATGATGATGGTTTTGATGACCTCATTGACATGGGCTTGGCAGGACACCGGATCCTGCCCATCTGGAATGTGCATCAGAGTGGGCCCAAAGCAGATGGCCAGGTTGTAGGGATCCATCATGTTCTCATCGCTGTACTGCGACAAGCTGCAAGCACAAGCGTTAGGGAGGTGCAGTGCCGACTTTCCCCGTTCCCTCAGAAAAATCTCCCACCAACAAACCTCCACTGCCCAAGAAAGCAATCATCACTGAGCTGTACATCCTCCCTGAACACACAGCCACGGCTAGGCAAGGCTGAGGAAGGAGCAAGTACAACTCTCCATGGCAATACCAAAAAGGACTCATGCAACAAAGTCAGGGAAGCCCTGAGGGCAAGGAGAAACTCAGTGAAAGAAAAAAAAAAAAAGAAAAAAGACTCACTGATTAAGGAAAGCAAAAAGATATCTCATGACAACGATGACAGCCCGGGGCAGAGTGACGATGATTTGCTGGATCTGGTGCACTCTCTCGGTGGGATTCTCGATTTCTGGAACACATGGATAGAAAGCACATCTTTAAACCTCCTCAGGACCAGACAACACGGCACCAGAGGGACTTGTTTTCAGATCTAGTAGCCCACTACCAAGGAAAACAATAGCCCATTTCCAGACTTGATCCACTGGTTTGGCACTAAAGTGCAAGCAGAGAATCAGGCATAGTGCTCTTCCATGGGTAAATTCATACATATGTTCAGATTCAGTATAAACAGCAAATAAAGACATTTCCATGGTTTTCTTTTTAAAATAACTGTTTATACATTATTTAGTTCATTCGTCAACAACTACTCTACTTCTCAAAAGCTTGAGTCACTATGGCACTGGAAAATGGAGCACTACTTGGTTTTCTAGCGCAGATTTTTAAATGAGGTTTTTATTCACATTACTCTTACGGGCTAACCATCAGGTCCTTCCGAGCCCTTTCTGCTCCAGTCTCCCACTGGTCTCAATGGGGATTTAATCTGAACCAGTTCTGAGTCAGCACTAAGATTCACTTCTCTCCATAGCAGTGCACGAAGCCCATAGCTGCTATCAGAAACCAGCTTCCTTCTGTAGGAAGGAGGGTGACTTAGAGCTATCCTGCTTTCAGTGCCAACTCACTCACCCAGGGACCCCAGCACTGCCCCCCAGCCCTCCTGCAGCCCTGCACCAGGATGATGCTGAAGCCCCTGCGCAGCAGCCTCCTTCGCCTGCAGAGCTGCAAGAGCCCCGCTCTAGCACCGACCCGCCAAGGGGTCCTGCAGCAGCTGGCAGCACATTCCAGCCCCCAAAGCTACTCTTTTTTTTTTTAAGCTAGTATCTGTTCAATATATTATGTACATAGTTAATCCTGCGGCTTTTATTTTACAGAAAGCAGACAAAGAGTATCAAAGCTTTCCTGCGAGCAGTCAGCCTCAGATGCATGGAATAAGCCACATCAGTGGAGAGATGCTTACTTTATTATGCTGGCTCAAACTTTGACATTTGCTAATCATAATAAAATTCACTGACAACATGTAGCTGGGCTGTCATTTGTTCAAAAATGCTGAGCAAAAGTTTGGCTTCAGTCCAAAGATTGAAATCTTTATAATATTTCATTTTGGAAATTTTTCCTTTTGAGGAATGTATTTATCCCCTGTTATTGCTTACCGGGTTCTCTACTTCTTCAGTTTGGTTTCACTTAAGAGGATATTTGTCCAAAAAAAAAAAAAATCAAATAAATAAGAACTACTGGATAAACTACAACAATAGATATCTGTTCTGAAACCCAGAGGAACAAGTTGTCTTGAAGCACTTGCCTTTTTTCACTTAGCAGAAATGTTTCAACTGGCTGTAATTCAGAGGAATTAATGGAGTAATCATCAATCACTTGACAATACAGGCACACCCCTGAATGAACCTTTGCAAACAAAGTGCCTTTTCTATCCATCTATTTCTATGTGCATTTGAGAGACGCTTCAATGTAAACTCTCAGTCCCCTATAAGGCAAAAGGAAAAGCCAGCCTTTCACCTGCCACCGGCAAGCCTGGCTTCCCCATCACAGCGGCAGGGAATGATGTGGCTCTGCAGCCTTCCAGGGGCACTCAGAGGCCTGACGACATGCACAGCAGCACCTGCTGCAAAAAACTCGCTCAGAATACCTTACCAGGAGCCAAGGGAAATCAAGGTGGCTTTGTGATGCACTGCGGTGGAGAGCCCAAACCGCTCGGCTGCGTTTAACCTTTCCGCCGTAATTACACAGTGAGACAGAACATCCTACAGCAAGGGTGGCATTTCACTAAGCAGTGGTTCTCAAAAGGAAGAAGGTTTCTTCAATCTGTTTAGGTTGTGACACCTATTACACAGCCTATATTTATGTGGCAGAAAGTCAGATGCACTTAAGGTCAGATTTTTAATGGCAACAAGGCACTTAATTCATTTTAAATCTATCCTTAATCGAAAGGTAGCAACAGCAGCAGGAAAAGAAAGGAAAGCTGAGGAAAAGGAAGATTCTTGCTAAAATGAGAAAAAATAAAGAGAGAAGAGAACACTATCCAGAAAATTAACAGATGATGTTTGCAATGAAAAGCTCCCAAAAGCTTAATAAGTTGTGCAAATTGGCATTAATTAGGGATGGTTCCAAAGCACAAGCCTATCTGCAAGCACACAGTCACATCACCAAGCACCAGGCACATTTCCTGGCACCGAAGGGGACTCGTCCCCTTCTCTGCAGGCTGTGCCCTTTCAGGCTCCCCCGCTCTGCCTGCTGCAAGCCCCTCAGGGAGGGCAGCTGGAGCGAGCGCTGCAAGCCAGGCTAAAACTCTGTGTCCAGGGCACAAAACTGGTGCAGAAACAGCTTCCTTTGTTTGCCATGTTACAGGTGTGCTGCGCCGTTTTACACATCAAAACTGAAAGACAACAGCGAATTTCCTAAAGCTACTATATAAAACAACTGTTCTTGAAAAATAAGAGCAAATTCTTCTCCTTCTGGAACAAGCCCATCCCTGCATCATTCCCCTCTAGATATCATCTGTCTTTCTTGACATCACTAAATCCCTAGCAGTTATGCACATTAACATTAAGGAGGGGGGAAGGAGCCATGAGCAGTGAAAGCCAAATGAAGGACTTCAGCACACGTTCACCAGTCAGTCCCCTGAAGCTACCCATGTACTGAGACCCTGTTCAAGCAACTAATGACTCCTCATGCAACATCCAAATAACCGCGATGCCTCTTCTGTAAAATAAAGTCATCCTGCAGCCAAAGCGCGCAACACGCTCCTCCATCATCTCTGAAACATCAGATTCATTCTGCCTTCTTCCTTTCCCCCAGGGGAGTAATTGCCACGACTTACCAATAAATAAATGTCATCACTACAAGGTAGTGAGAGAAAGAAACCCCAGCTGCGATATCTGTTTCTTCAGTTGCAGAGGAACAAGTGGAGCTGGGAGGAGAATTCAGGACAGAACAAGAAGCAACCAGGCTCTCCCTGACATCAGTCCAAGACCCTTCATGATTAAAACCGCTCAGCTTCTACCTCTGCTCACATCCCAAAGCACTTTCTGGTTTACTTTGGGATGGGAAATGCACATAGCAAACACGTGGAGAACAGCTGACCGAGTGAGGTTGAAAGCAATTCTGCAGACCTCAGGGGTCAGAGAAGCCTTGTGAGTAGCCAAGAGTTATTGACCTTCACTATGTTTAGTAGAAGACACTGAGCTAAAGCAGCAAAACCCCTTCGGGTCCCAGGAGGCACGGCCGCTTGACACATGATGGGCAGGCACAGAAACTGCCGTTGCGCAGAGATCTGTGCAGGCAGGACAGCAACCAACCCTGTTCAAGCAACTAATGACCCCTCATGCAACCTGCAAATGTGCATATGGGCTTGCTGCATGTGCAGCCCGCTGGCCTAAGCTTTGGGATGACTCTCTGGTGATTCTCATCGAATCATAGAATCATTTAGGTTGGAAAAGACGCTTAAGATCATCGAGTCCAACCCTTAACCTAACACTGCCAAGTCCACCACTACACCATGTCCCGCAGCACCACATCTACAGGTCTTTTCAATACCTCCAGGGATGGGGACTCAACCACTTCCCTGGGCAGCCTGTTCTAATGCTTGACAACCCTTTCAGTGAAGACATTTTTCCCAATATCCAATCTAAACCTCCCCTGGCACAACTTGAGGCTGTTTCCTCTTGTCCTATCACTTGTTACTTGGGAGAAGAGACTGACACCCCCCTCATTACAACCTCCTTTCAGGTGGTTGTAGAGAGCGATAAGGTCCTTCCCTGAGCCTCCTTTTCTCCAGGCTAAACAACCCCAGTTCCCTCAGCCACTCCTCAGACTTGTTCTCCAGACCCCTCACCAGCTTCATTGCTAGGAAGAATTTAAAAGAGCCATAGCAAGATGTTTTATCTCTCCCTCACCTCCAGCGCTGCCAATGCACACTCTTAATGTCTTTTCCTAACAACTTCCATTGCAGACCTATAGCCCTTCTTACAATATAGGCTGCTATTTGCAAAACTCAGGTGTACTTGCCCCCCGTTTATTGCTTCTCTTGTCCCACCCTGTTCTCTGAGAAGAGCTGTCACATGTACTTACTTATAGTAGATATCAAATCTTGAAACCTTTCCTTAGGAAAGAGGGGGTTTTCCAGTCCTCGGAAATACAGCTTCAAGACTCCAGCCACTGAATTAATGTCACGTTCATTTTGATCATCAGCAAGGGGATCTTCACCTGCCCAGAGAAGAGTTTTTATTTCCAGCATTACTATCAAGTTGGACTAACACAACAAGTGTTTTTTACTAACTCAGTGGAAACCCAAAAAGTTTCCCACAGTTCAGAAAACCCTCCTGTGTGTGGAATGGTAATGCTAAGCATTTTGCCAGCAAGAGGAGAGTTTAATAAGGTACTCTGTTACATAGCATCATGCTGAGACATGCTATAGCCCTACCTACAAAAACCCAGTTTATTGTGGAAATTTTAAACCTTTCCTGAGGATGAAGATGTTATTAATCTGTTTTCCTTCACAGTTTCCAGCCCAGTGCATTTTTGCATTTAAGGGAACAGCTCAAGAGAGCTGAGCAAATCTAAACGATGGTGGGTGAAAGCCTGAGAAGACAGGCTTGGCTGGAGGATGCAATTATGCCTCTGGAATAGACCGAATGGTTCTGGATAGCATTGTATAGACTTAAATCTATAAAAGGCTTTCAAAACCTAAGGGATTTGGATACCGATTCCTCTTAAATTGGATGTGCAAATCCTCCAGCCTTTGATAATCTCACCACCGCCTTATTCATTGGCCTCGCCACCTTCACCCTGATCCTTCCATGCTGCTCACAGATTAATGCCATGGAGGCCATTACCCCCATCTAGATTGTCCCTTTCACAGCTTCAATTTCACTCGGTGACAGCAGGATTGCTCTGCCCTGTCTTGCCAGCCTTACACCTTCGATGTGGTTTTCTCAACAGAACCACTGGCAACTTCACAACCAACACTGCCACCAGGTACACGTGGCAATGCTGCTCCTCCCTTGATAAACCACTGCAGGAAGGAGGAAAATGGATCCCCAACAAACTATTTTATGGCTCTCATCTGAGGCTTTCATGCTCTTAATTAACAACTATGGAAGAGATCTCTGCACCTATCGCTACTTCTCGTACTCTTTCCGTAAGTGACTCTCCACTATTGCTGGAGATACAATACTGAGATACCTAGAAGGGGAGAAAACCTCCTCATATCTCGTAGCAGAACGGCCTTTAGCACAGGCTTTACACAATGTCTAATGCACCCAGCACACACTGAAACTCCCACCAACGATCTCTGCTCAGACGTGGCGTCCCAGCTGCACATCCTGCCAACGCACCTCTCTATGGCGCAGCTGCACATCCTGCCAACGCACCTCTCTCAAACGAATTCTTGATGTCGTTGACTTCCACCTGGGAGCCAGGAACTCTGAAAATGCCCTGCTGCTGAAGGCCTGGAAAGGAACAATGTTTTAGAAAAGATTTGTGTAACTGTTACACAGTACTTTCTGGTAAAGAACAGCAGAAGCTAGGAGTCAATGCAACTGGAGAGAGACTCGGAGAGCAGGAAGGGCACAGCCTGCTACGATTCATTTCTGCTCATATTCTCCAATCAAGGCCCCCCAGACCAAAGCCCTGAAAGGGCTCCTGTTGGCCTGGGACCTGAGAGAACAATTTAACCTGAATAAGTGCTAACAAGCCCTAATTATTTCTCAGTCATACAATGCTACATCACGGTCAATGCCATTGTAATTATAACCTGAGCCCACGTAGCGAGGGCTGCGGGCATCTCTACTGTATTTCACTGCTAACTACAAGTATCTAATTCTTTTGCAGAAAGTTTCTGTTGGTATTACTGAATCAACTTACCGTACAAATTGATGTAACGAATGCAGCTTTCTACTACAAGTGGAATAGCCTGTCCTGAATCCTTCATGAAAGGAAAGGAAAAAGTAAAAAGTTACTGGTTTATTGATAACAAAGCACGAGAAATGCATTAATGATTGCAAAAACAGAGATTTGAAAATCAGTGCCATTGAGTTTAGTAAGAGGACAGGCAAGAAAAGGAGGCGTTACACACATCAAGCCATCAAAAAGTGCTGAATATACTATGTGCAGTCAATTATGCACAAAAAAAGCTTTCACTAAAGTGTGTGAAAGACTGCTGCTCACTATCTGGTCGAGACAGGGGACTGATGCAACAGGATCACAGCTATTCCATTTCAAAGGTGTAATGCTGAGCTGAAATAAAACTTGTGCTATACCTGTCTGATGAAATAAGCTTCCAGTAACAGAGCTTACAACAGTATTTCCACCTAAAGAGCGAGCTATTGTCAGCAGATGCTAGAAAAAAAAAAACAAAACACCACAGTGTGTGAAATGAACTGCCTGTAACTGAACCTGTAATGAGTTTTGGCTTTTGTTTCAAAGCTGCTTCTCTCCAGGCCCTTCATGGAAGGAGCTCAAGGGGGAATGTGCGCTGTGTCTGACTGCCTAAGTGGATGTTTATTTTCCTTAGGAGCTTTGTTTGGTTGTTTTTTCCAGTAGAGTACAGTTGCATCTCTCTGGTTAATTTACTCTGTCTCATAGATGGGCCTCCAGTAAATACCTGATTTCTCGTTCGCGCATTCCTCCTTCCTCTGAGAACACAAAAAAGCAGCAGAGCAGGGAAAAAAAGAAAAGATTAAGCAAGGATAAGTTCAGTTAGAGGTAAGCATCTCTTTCGGAGGCCATGAACGCTCAAATGCAATGGCAGCTTAGCAAGGTCCAACCCAGGCCTTCAGGCTGTCCACCCTCCCTCCCAAGCCCCGTCTGGCACGCTGCACCCGAGCCTCAGCGACCGGCAGAAGGAGCCTCTCTGATTTCTTCCCTCCCTGAACCTGCGGCACTTGCGGAAGCCCGAGGCCAACGCCAGCCCCTGCCCGGGGGGAAGGCCAGGCTCCGGGGAGAGCCGCCCTGGCGTGGGGGCACCGGGCAGCCGCCCGCAGCCCTGCGCTCCACGGGGCCACACGTTTTCCACAGCAGCGCGTGGTCCCCAGCCTCGAGGACAACCCCGGTAGCACAGCACTGTCCCCCGAGGAGTCTCCGCTGGCACAGGACACCCGTCCGCTCAGATAGATTTCCACTGCGGCTAATTCCTCCTCCACAGTGCTGGACTTCAATGAGTATTACTTTTTTAAAAATCAGTTTAAGTAAGGAATAATTACAAGAATTAAAGAGATTACTGGCTTTGTCAGTCAGCCTGTTATTACTTGTGACAGTGCACTGTTTATAAACATTGCCCTTAGGCTTATGGTTGCACTAAAAGAACCTAAGAGAATAAATCGGAGCCAGACAACGCCTATTAGTTTACCTAATCCAACAGTTTGTCATTACTGCTTCCTACAGTATTTTCACTAAAGCTTTCTTCAGCACAGGATTAAACACTGAGCAACTGGAACAGCATCGCTTCCTTTGGAAATCCTTCCAGCAGCCAGGCAATAGCAAAGTGCTGGATTTTGGAGGATCAGCAGCTAGATAGCTGGAGGTATTCTTCGGGACAAATCCCACGTCCACATCTCTTCATTTTTCTCCTCAAATCTTTCCTTCCGGGTAATTTCCTGGGATGAGCAGGGCCAAATGCCCCCTTTCACTGGGACTGCACTGGTATTAATTGAGTTCATCTGAGTTCACCCCAGCTTAAATGAAGAAAATACTTTGGCCCACATTTACGAAGACCACACGCTGCATGTTATCAGCGATGGTTTGGAGGAAACCACTCAGCAGCCATTTAGGAATCACTTTGCTCCAACACTGGAAGCTGAGCCCACGGTCCTGGCCCTCGCCGAGCACAGACGGGCGCCAGCATGGGTCGCAGGCAGCGTGCAAGCTGTAGCATCTCCTCTCCCGGTGCCTTCAGAGGTAAGGGAGAAGCCTGCGGCTCCACACTGACACACAGCTCTCGCCTATCCTCCCTGCAGGTTAACCCTCCCTCCAGTTTGGGCTGCGGGAAGGGGCCTTCAGACTCCCAGTAAGTACCGAGCTGTACGAGCGGGCCTCAGCCACCTATCAGCAGTCGGCACTGAGATCAGCCAGCTGGGCTGGTTATTATTAATGTATTTTGTTTAAGGATGAGGATAGCACATCTACCCTCCCACGCAGCCACCCATATGCACGGTATTTCAGTTCGAGGCTGCCAGTCCTTACCACTGGGAGACACTTTCTGGGAGCTTATGAGTCATTTTACCTTCGCCCTCAGCCACGGGGGAAAACGACCACCAAAAACGTGCGGAAAAAGGGAAGGTGGGGGGATTTGTTGATCCTTTGAGGGTGCTGGGTTGGGTTATCCTTGCTGTCTGATCTTCCCTCCCAGGATGGGTGGAAGCAGCGCTGGACAATGGAGGCGCTCAGCCAAGAACACCTCGTGCTGCGCAGCCGGCCAGCACGGCCGACAGCCGTGAGGGTCCTCACTGCTACCCTCGCCCCAGGGCACGCAGGTGGTGACAGGATGGGTGACACAAGGAACACACAAGGGGTGAGGACAGCTATGGAGAGAAATCGTCACCGAGGCAAAGCACACGCTGGCCACGTCAACTGGGTGCAGGGTGGACTGGAGAGACCCCGCCGAGGAAGGAAAGCAGCCAGCAGTTAGGACAGGAAAGCCACCATTACATTCACAGCGTTCATAAACTCTTACTGTCAGCCAGCGAGTACCTTAATGAACGTTTCCATATTGCCGTTAAAGAGTTTATGATTATAGACTGAGAGAGGCCTAGGTCTCCTCATTTTCTGTGGCTTAGGGGGAAGACATGGGGGCCTGGGAGAAAATGGAACAAAAGAAATCAACAAAACACCAACATAAATGCAATGACAGGGTGAGATCTCAAAGGTTATGACCGAGAATAAGAAATAAATCAAACAGAAAAATCCCTCTGTGAGGACTCGACACGCAGCTCCACGCACTCTGCAGCCGCTCACACTTCAGCGTCCCCACCACTGCGTCCCCCCCACGGACACAGCTCCACCGGGAGCTGGGGGACCTGCAAAGAGCTCAGCTCCACACCTCCACATCGTGCACAGCGCCCACGGCTCCTGGAGAGGTGCCCTCTGCTTACTCCAAAGCCCCTTCCAGCAGCCTGGGGCAGGCTACCCTCGCACTAACTTGGCTAGCTCATTTTGGAGCCAGTGCCGCAATGGCCTCACTTCTGCAGGTCCCAAAGGCCAGGCTGAGCCTGGGTGCAGCTGGCAGGTGTCTCAACGGGCAGCAGAGCTAACCTGTAGGCAGCCCAGAGCAAAATCAGAGCTGTTCACTATATGCTGCACACATAATTTCAAGTCAAGGTCAAGACTGCAGCCTTAATTTAAGTAATAAATTCAAATTATCTTGATAATAGAAACATTTAACAGCAATAAGCGAACCCACCCATTACTTTCCATACTCATAATCTTCCCTATCAGACAGACTCTAACCTCGGCTGCAGCCACATACAGAAATCTAACTATCTGCTGCTACGGACTTCTTGAAGAGTCCTAGTTGCTACTGTAAAAAACAGTCATCTTCAGAAATCAGACAGTGACAGAGCAGTAACTATACCAACAACCACAGCTGGAATGAACAATGGGTGATCAGGAATGCTCTTCATGCAGAACTTGCTTCATTCAAGCCAGAGAGTAATGAGGCTGCTAAACACAGCTGGTCACAACTGTCTCTGGTACCCACGATCTGCAGATACAATTCTCCCTCTCTGAGATGCCAAATATCAAAACTGCTGCTCAGTGTTTGTGCTAGTACCAGGGATGTGGGCAGATTTAAACTAGATAGAAGGAAGAAATGTTTTACGCCGAGGGTGGTGAAGCACTGGCACAGGTTGCCCAGGGAGGTGGTGGATGCCCCATCCCTGGAAACATTCAAGGTCAGGTTGGATGGGGCTCTGAGCAACCTGATCTAGTTGAAGATGTCCCTGCCCACGGCAGGGGGGTTGGACTAGGTGACCTTTAAAGGTCCCTTCCAACCCAAACTATTCTATGATGACATTTTAGAATTAAAATGAAAGCGTTGGTGCTCAGTAGGATTTTTAACACCTGCCTCCTACCTCCGTCAGTTCAGCACTCTGTTAGCCTGGAAAAGCACCAAGAGTAGCTGAAGAGTTCAACTGATTCCTTAATATATCCAAAATAAACCACAGCTACCCCTGGAAAACACTGGGGTATTCCTGTTTATTCCTAAATGGACCTCATTCTGCTAATAGATGGCCAGAAAGAGGAAAGTGGGAACACCTCCACCTCTCTGCAGCTAACTTCTGTTGGGAGACATTCACAGGGATGTGAATGGTTTTTCATCTTTCTGGCAGGCATTCCCAAGAGTGAAACCACCAAACAAAAAGGTGAGCCCAGTCAACACACACGAGTAAACCCACCAGCAACTCTGTAAGAACAGAAAAGGTAGGCATGTGCATTAGGAAGTGGCGTGACCCTACCCCTACTAGCTAGTGACTGAGGGTCCTCATCAGTCATGGGGAACAGACCTGTTGACTTCAGCAAGGGTAACAGACACCTACTGCTTCTGGAAATGAGACCACGGAAACGTGTGACTTATTTTAGTGCAGTGATCAGGACTTTGGACGGCTCCTTTCATTAACACTATTCACATTTTGATTTCCTCTTCTGATAATGAAGGACATTAAGACCCAAGTGCCTAGATCTAGAAAAGGGAGAAAAACAGCATAAAATCTCTAACCGATTTCTGATCTGTCCTCTACCCCCAGGCTATACTGTTGTCTGTAGAGGAGAGATCATGACTGCAAGTGAAAATGAGTCCTAGGGAGCCTTCATGCAAAAGTTCTCACAAAGCACAGCCGAATGGACATGTACAATTTACACAGAGCTACGATGCAAAGGCGACAGTTGTGATCCGCTGGTTGCTTAATCACATGCCTTTAATTGAGCAATTTGACTCTACACTCCTATAGCTTCTAACCACTCCTGGTAACTGGTTACCAGTTCAACTGGTAACTGAGGAGCAGAAATGACTGCTGTCCATTCAAGTGCCCGTCTGACTCTCAGCTGAGCAGCCCTGTCCTGCAGACTAGAGACCCAGTGCTGTTTGCTGCCGTGAAATCTCCTCTCCCTGGGGGATGCCCTGGCGCAAGGCGGCCCGGACAGCCCGGCCTCCGGCTGCATCTGGTGGGAAGGTTGTTCTGCCTACACGCTGCCTCACACAGGGAGGAGATTGTCTCTTGTTTGTTTTCCTTTGTGAAGTAAAAGCAACTGCTGAAACAAAAGCAAACAGAAACAGCAAGAAGTTGTGCCATCATCCCTCATGTAGGAGGCTGTTATTCATTCCTTTGATTGTTTTGGCCTGCAACACCACCACCCCACGGGCACTCACTCCTGATAAACAAAGCACTCAAGTGCAAATTCTTCCTATGATTTTACCTAGCTGTTTGGGTGTGCTTTCCTCGACCAGCTCAGCAGATAGCCCTGCCTGGCACACACAAAGGACCAGAGCTCACCTCACAGGCTGTATCTGTAGCCCCCAGCAGCCACGTGCATGCAAACACACCTGGGGCACCAAGGGTGTCAGGGTGCTGTAGGGCAGCTTGCCTGGGACCCGCAGGGAGAGGGGGGAGCAGGGGATTGCAGCGGGGGAGCAGCTGCCATGACGGCTGATCCGAAGGGGACCTGGGAGCACAGTCAAGAGCAGCTCCTTGGAGCACATCAGCGCAGTGACAGACTGTGCAGTCCCTGCTCTCTGGCCTGTGCGAGGCAGGGAAGGCCCCTCTTTGTCCTGACAGCACCTTGCTGCCCTGCGCTGCAGCCCCAGTGAGTGCCCAGCCCTGACACCACTCTCAGCCTGGCGCCGGCAGCACAGTCCCCTCCAGCCAAAAGGCGAGAGAGCAAGGCACCCTGCCGCCCCGCTGCCCTCCGCTAAGGCAGCCTCCTTCCTGCTTGGAAAGGCAGCCCAGGCTTCACCATCTGCTTCAGCATTTCTAACAGGGAATGGGGGGTTTTGCTGGTATTGCAAATTTTATTAAACACTGAAACAGGGTTGTAAAAAGATAACACAGAGAGAGGTTGTACATGTTCTGGGGAGAAGTTTGGAAGCTTTGCTGGCCCGTGTCTTACTGTTAGAAAACCAGCACACACATAGCAAGCCACCAGAGCTCTGTGGAGATGCTTTATGGACTGGACACAGATCAAAGCCTCCTCCCTGTTACATTCACTCCTAGCACTATCTCCTGCAGTGGAGGGATGGAAGTCTGAATACAGGCATGCTCTGCACTTCTAGGCAAAGAAGCCAGAGCTGGGAGAGGCTTTTGGGGGCATATCAAAGTCCCCAAGTGAACAGGGATGGCAGGGAGCGGGTGGACACCCTTGTGTTGCACTGTGAACACAACCCAACCTCAGCTATGCTACAAGGTACTGCACCACACCGTGCTGACACAGCACTTCCAGGCACTTCAGAGCCAGTCAGCTAGAAATTACACTGCAGCAAAAACAAGGGCCTGTTTGTCATCACCCTAATTAACCCACTTCAGGCAATGCAGCTGAGAAGCAGGGCAGTGATGTGGGGAGCCTGGGATTGCCTGCCCTCTGGCCTGCCAGCACAGGATGGCTGGAAGATGGTTAAATCTGAACCCCGCCAAGCTGTATCAGTAGCAAAGCAAACCACCCTTCCCACGGCAACCCTCCTCCTGCCAGAGCAAGCCCTTCCCAAAAGCAGATGAAGTGGAAGAAACTGCTCACCTGGTTGTTCCGCATTCGGCTCTTTCACCTATGAAGAAACACAAGTTTCTGTCATCTCTCCACATTAGTCACCACCAACCGACTGTTAAAACGCAATCACACAGGCACTCACACACCCACGTCTGGTTCTGTAAGCCCTGGGTTAATGGCTTCTGGCAAAAAGAAGCTGAATGTGCCCAAGGGCCCCTCAGGTTGGGGAGATGCTGAGCTGGTTGCTATACAAACTCCTGCCACTAAAAGACGTATTAGAAGTCCAAGACTCAGCCACAAGAGAGGGAAAGCGCCTTCAATTCTCACTGATATTAAAGGTTTATTTGCAATATGAAGCCCATCTTGTAAATAACCAGATGCACTGCAGGTCCTTTGCAATAAGTGCTCATTTGCACTAGCTGGGGATTGGCCAAACCCAAGCAGGACAGGGGCAGTCTGATAAGGGCTGAAGCCCCCGGGGAGGCCGCTGAGATTATCCAACTGCCTCATGGAGGACCACTAATAGCACCTGAATGCAGCGGAGTATTCAGTTCCCTGGCTTTTCCTCTGAGATAACAGCCCATCTAACCACGATCAGGCAGACTGAGGCAATATCCTCATCCCCTTCGTGTATTTTTAGTGCTTGGATTTCATATAAATGGCAGCATATCACCACTGATAAGATCTGTTCATTTTTTAAAGTATTTGTCGAGCCACTGAAAAAAACTAAACTAATTTCACATGCTGTTTGTGCCTTTCTCCCAAGGCCAGGAAAGCTGATTTATTCTTCCTCTTTCTAAGACACATAAAAGGAAGCATTTGGCTGCACATGCCTCCTTCCTGCTCTCCCTTGGCACCTGCGGAAAGCAAGCTTGCAGCCAATTCCTCACTGAAAAAGAAAAGAAATCCACACGAGTGTTTTGCAAACCCAGACTTCTTCCTAATGAGAATCAGCTCATGCTGAAACGCAGCATTTGGCATTTCTGGGCTAAATATTTGCTGAACGCCTACACAGCAGGATGATCCCATGGCCTGGGAGAAATTCAGAAAGTTTTCACGTGAAAATCTTCCACGGCTGCTTTTGCACAACTCTATAGAGAATTAAAATGCCTGACCCTGCACTCCTCCTAAGTATGGCATTGGCATGGCTCTTGTGTGAGAGACCAGGATGGCGATCAAATTAATCTTCAACAGATTGATCACGTCTTGCACCAATCTATAGGAGTCCTAGCACTGTATCCAAAAAACAGAGCTCCTCCCAGAGATCAGATCTTAATACAGGAAAGAGGTTAGATGGGTCCAATTTCTGTGAACTGCATGCTCCATCCCCCTCGCCTATGTCAAAGCCTGAATTCAGACCCAGCAGCTGGGAGCCCTGCCAGGCAGCACGCAGTGACCCACCAAGCCTCGCACAACCCCTGCCACACTGGTATGGAAACACAGGACTGCCTCGGTGAGGATGCAGAAGGGCTGCCACTGACCTGCTATTGCAGGGTGATAAGGGGTTAAGGCAGCTACAGGGAGTACTGAAACTCCTGGGAAAAGAAATATGTTAATGGAGCCCTGTGTATCTACCCTTGCAGCTTTCCTTGTGTTTACATTTTGTGCCTTGACTTGGCTCAGTGTTCACTGGGTGGAACATAACACAGGATCGAACTAGAAGGTGGATTTTAAGGCTAAATAAATTTGGCAGAGAAAATATGTTTGGCAAAACAGCCAACAAAAAGCTTTTTTTTTTTACCTCTGAGATGAGGAGTCCAATTTTTGTATTGTTAAAGTAAGACCATGGACCATTTGTGTATTTTAATTTAAATATGTTCTCTCCTGTTGGAAAATCAGGACACTAATTCACCTCCATCTTCTTTAACCTGGAAATAATGCAATTTTTTTAAAATCCTTTAAAAGAGCTAAAATCTTCTCCCAGGGACATGGTTGCACGTTACTACCCCAGCAGTGGCAGATGCCACCTGGAGCCACGCACTCCTGCCTCCCTCAGAAGTTACTGCCCCCTCTGTTGTACGAAACCTGTTTGTGCATATATGCTCTAAACCAAACTTGTGAAATTATCTGGGGTAATAAAAGCCTGCTATGGAAAAGTTTTAAAAACAAGGATGATTTTGCAGTTCTGGATTAGAGCAAGTCAAAAAACTATGGCCGGGGGGGCAAGGGGCCTATTAAATCAGCAAGGCTGCTGGCAGATCTGTGACACAGAAACAGAGCATCAAGGACAAGAAAATACCTATGTTCAGGGCTGCACTAAGAGGGGAAGAAGGGGGAGAGAAAGGACAAAGGCAGAGGGTTGGAGTGGGTGGGAACCTCTTTGCTGTCGGAGAAGTAACACAGCACTCTGGCACACAGTATAAGATTCAGACAAATTTCTCTATGTGCACTCCCAAAGGTGGGATAAGACTAATACTCCAGGGAAATAATGATTTTGCATGTCGCTGGTTAAACTTAGTAGTAGCAGCCAACCACAGAAGCCATCAGTCACTCGGGAAAACACAGACATCAGGTAAGACTGAAAGATGACGCCTGGTTTAAAATCGTCTCATGTGATGGGAGGTTCCTCCCTGGACCTAACCCCGCAACTCACCTTCTCCAAGAGTCTGCTTCAGCAAGTCGTGTTTAGCCTGGAGCTTCGTGATAAGGTTACTGCCATTCAAATACTCTTTAAATTTCTGGCATTAAAAATAAAACAAACAAGGTGGGTTAAAACTCTTGGCAAAAATAGTCCGTAATTGATGTACACTTTTCCCTGGGGGGCTGCTGGAGGGGGCTCGGCGAGGCTGACAGGCCCTAACAAACCAGACGTCAGATGCGCCGCAGGACTGAGCATGGTCTAATCACTTCTCACTGCTCTAGCCACAGTCCTGATGATCTTCTTAACCCGGTCTCCTTGGTGCTGCACCTCCTGCCTGGGAACGCAAGGAACTCCAAAGAAAAGAGTTCAAAGCAAGCTTTCTTTTGTCAGGCTTCTGGGAACGGCCTGGAAAATCAAAGAGGCTTTCCCTCCACTGACAGGCGCTTTGCCTTTGTGCAAACAAGTGATGCAGAGTGAGAACTCCCAGTGCATGAGACCTTCCCAAGTCAGGGACCATCAGACGCTTTATGCACTGGGCGACAGTGCAGCACAACTTCTTATTTCATTGTGAGACTGTGTGACACCCGGCAACACTCAAGAGCAAGTAATTTTACAGGTAAGAGGAGTGAGGGAGACAGATGGAAAACAAAAGACAGAGAATGGGAAAGATCAAATTCTTGCAAAAAGCATTAAAAAAAACCCCCAAGCACAACTCAAAATGAAAACTGCAAGTCTTTTCCCCCTGAATTGGAATAATAATACTGTTAAGAGAAAGTAGAAGCTTTTCTATGCATACGTAATATATCACAAGATGCTATTAACTTTAGCCTATTAACCATGCTTAAATGAGGGCTACTTTTGCTGAACTGACGGCTTATTACTTACATTTCAAGTACTATAAGAGAGAACCTTAGATCTGCCTGGAAGTGAAGTACAGGAGCAAGACTGCAGGGGAGACACAGCACAGCTGCCTCTACCCAGCACGCACACAACAGCAGGGCGTTGCAAAGCCAGGCTGTCGCAGCTTCCTCCAACACCCTGCACGAGATGCAAATGACTATTTAGTTCATCCCATGGGCCAAGGGCAGATTTTAGCTGTGTAGGCCGGAAAAGGAAGGCTTGGCTGATGGTTCAAAATTGTAAAGGCCTCCAGGAACAGCCACTGAATGGTGACACATTGCGAGGCTGGCTGGAGCCTGCTGCCCTGCTCTGAGCCACTCCGACTGAGTTCTGTAAGTTTTCAGTCACAACTGGTTGCTCCAGTTGCTCCTTCAAAAAGAAGAACAAGGCAGACACCGGATTGTCAGTCCCTGTGCACTGCCCTGCCACTGAGAAATGCATTCCAACCCCAAATCAGACAGAAGACAAATACTTAGACTGAATTGGTTCTTGCTCTTCGCTAATGAGCACTTAAAATGGGACTCAGCCCTAGCAATTAATGCTTTGTGTCCTGTATCGCATTGAGATGAAACTCACTGTAAAATAGAACATTTCGGTTTCCTGCTGGTTGGCTCTCCTCTTGGCGATGTTTATTTTACTCATGTAGGTCTCTGATGCAGCTGATTTGACCGACTCAGTGGAGCGACTATGCTGGAAGGCGTCTGAAACATCAAAATCTTCCACCGTCAGCATGTCCTGCAAAGTCTGCATTGTGGCATCCAGAGTTTTTCGTACCTATCAGAAATAGAAGACAGCATGGTTTTGAAGCAGACTGGGAAAGTGACACATCTTGAGCCAAAACAACTGGCCAACAGGCAGCTCCTAAGTACTGGGCTTGCTCTTGCGCTAGCTGCAGTCAATGGGAGCTCTCAGCACTGTCACTGGAGGGGCTCTACACCTGAGCACACCAGGAAACCCCCTGCGCAACGGGCAAAAGGCTGAGCAATGCTGCCTAGGAGGCCAAACACGAGACCCAGAGCGACTTCTTACCTCTTCATTCTCTATCTTGAGGGTGGCTAGTCGCGACTGCAGCTGGTGGTACCGCATCAGCAACTCGGTCTGCACAGGCTGCTGGGCGCTGACCTGACACACCTGAGACAGGAGCAGTACCAGAGAGAGACAGGAGAGCATTCAGTGGGTCGTGCACTGACCAGACATACACATTTAAATACCTAAATGATTCTCTCCAGCACCCACAAGCTCCTCACAGCCTCCAGGGAGGCTGTGTCACCCAGTTTCTAATCAGCAGTGCCCTGGACCCAGGCCAGCACAAAGCATTTTCTACCCAACATTTGAAAGCTGCACTCTGAAGTCTTCCAATTACAGCAGGTAAATCAAAGCTCCACTTTACAAATCTGTTGGGCAGTTCAGCTGAGAATCAAACCACAGGCTTCCTAATTGGGAGAGATATGGAGCAAGAGGCAGACTGAAAGGAGGAGCCCTAATGAGCCATGTGTCTCATTAAGAAAAGAAACAGGAATAGCAGTGTGTGAAGACAGCACAGAGGGATAAGGAGCCAGAAATAATTTAACAGTGATGGTTAAGAAGAGGCCAGGCCAGGCTGCGAGGCACCTGTGCAGCCCCTTGGGTGAGTACACTACCTCATCCCCCATGTGAGGCTGGAATTCAAACTTCAGCGGAGGGCAGAAGACCTGGTTGCACATGTCCATGATGGTGTGCTTGTCGCTCCGTGCATCCAGGTTGTCCACGGCGTTCTCGATGATGTCCAGGCCCTCGTGGCGGGAGGTTTCCAGGTTGTACTCGGCAGACAGGTATGTCCTGAATGTCCGAGCAAGGCTGGCGTGGAATCCCAGATCACAGCACTGAGAAACACCGAGGAAGGGTCCAGTCACACAAACACGCCCACCCTTGTTCTGGAGGCTCACATGTACATTAAACGCCTAAAAAAGCATCGTATGTCCCAGAGAAACACCAGCCCTGTCGCACCAGGGTATATTTAACAGTGTACTGCAATACCATATGAAAAGGCAAGAAGGAAAGAGGACTGAAGAAGAAGAGGTACCAGGGAAAAACAGCCAGATAAGTACAGTGACCCTGCAACTGGACCCTCGCCACAGCACCAGGGTTTAATACCCTTCGTTTTACTGGGAAGGGCACAGGATCTTCCCAGACAGGACAGAGGAAAAAAAAAAAAAAAAACCCAAAAACGAAGGGTTCCCTT